ATATGATTTTTTAAAAAAGAATAAAGCCCATCATTTAAAGTGTGGATCTTCTAGAATTATACCACAGACAATTTGCTAGAATCTTCTTCTTCCTGAGTCACCAATTATTGCCTGGCAGATATGTTAGGCTGAAACTTCAGAATGTATTTAAGGGGAGATAACAAAACAATCTTCAAAGGCAAAGAAATGAAGCGGCCCACTCTGAGGAGAAAGAAATATGGATAACATACCCCCATGCAGTCCCTTAGACCAGGGAAAAGGAGGTTAAAATCCAAGTTCGAAATAGAGTGAAAAGCTCAGTCAGAGGCAAGTTCAGAAGAGAGGGTGGGGGGAAAAAAAAGCCCAGATGACTGTCAAAGCAAACAAATAAACAAACACATGGCTTTAGACATTTAATGCCAAACAGAATATTGCAGTCTGATAAAAAAAAATGAAGTCTGGAAATAAATGTATAGGCACACCTCAGAGTTGCTGGTTCTGTTCCAGACCACCACAACAAAGCAAATGCCACGATACTGTAATGGAAGTCACACCAAATTTGGGGTTTCTCAGTGCACATGAAAGTTATGTTTACACTATATTAAAGTCTGTCAGCGTGTAATAGCATTATGTCTAAAAACGCCCATGTACAGATCTTAACTAAAAAAGATTTTTTTGATCAAACAAATGCTAACAGTCATCTGAGTCATCAGTGAGTTGTCATCTTTTAGCTGGTGGAAAGTCCTGTCGATATTTATGGCCGCTGAAGGCCAGGGTGGCTGTGGCAAGCCTTAAAAGAAGACAATGACGTTTGCCATATCAATGGACTCTTCCTTTCATGAATGATTTCTCTGTTGCATGTGATGCTGTTTGATTGCATTTTAACCACGGAGAACTTCTTTCAAAATTGAAAGCCCAGGTCAGGCTCAGTGGCTCAGCCTGTAATCCCAGCACTTTGGGAGGCCGAGGCGAGTGGACTGCCTGAGCCTAAGGGTCCGAGACCAGCCCGAGCAACTTGGCAAGACCTCGTCTCTACAATAAATCAAAAATTTCGCTGGGCATGGTAGCTTGTGCCTGTAGTTCTGGCTACTCGGAAGGCTGAGGCAGAGGGATCGTCAGAGCCCAGCAGGTTGACACTGGGGTGGCCATGAGTGTGCCACTGCACTCCAGCATGGGCGACAGAGTGATACTCCAATTCAGAAAAAAAAGAAAAGATAAACCAAAATCGAAAGCCCTTTCAAAACTGATGCCGTTTTATCAACTATGTTTATGGAGTATTCTAAGTTATTTGTTGTCTTTTCAACAATATTCACAGCACCTTCACCAGGAGTAGATTTTACCTCAAGAAACCACTTTCTTTGCTCCTCCATAAGAAGCAATTCCTCATCCATTCAAGCTTTCTCATGAGATTTCAGTCATTCCATCACATTTCCAGGCTTGTCTTCTAGTTCTAGTTCTTTGACTCTCTCTGCCACCATCTGTAGTTTTTTCCTCCACTGAAGTCTTGAACCTTCCAAAATCATCCATGAAGAATCAACTTCTCCCACACTCCTGTTAGTGTTGACATTTTGGCCTTCTCCCCATGAATCATGAATGTTTTTAATGGCATCTAGAATGGGGAATACTTTCCAAAAAGTGTTCAATTTACTTTGCCCAGATTCATCAGAGGAATCACTACCTACGGCATCTACAGCCTTATAAAACATAATTCTTAAATAATAAGACTTGCAGAATGGATGTGGTATTAGCAGGCAATGAGAACATTAATCCCCTTATAAAACACTCCATCAGAGCTCTTGGGTGACCAGGTACATTGCCAACAGGCAGTAATAGTTGGGAATCTTTATTTCTGAGCAGTAGGTCTCAACTATAAACTTAAAAATATTCAATAAACCATGTTGTAAACAGATGTGTTTTTGTCCTGCGGTTTCAGTCAATTTAGCATCCATCATTTTTAAGTGTCCTAGGATCTTTGGAATGGTAAATGAGCATTGGTTTCCACTTAAAGCTACTGGCTGCATTAGTCCCTCACAAGAGAGTCAGCCTGTCCTAAAAATCAGGAATTGGCTTATCCTCTCTAGCTAGGAAAGTTCTAGATGGCATCTCCTTCCAACAGAAGGCTGTTTTATCTACATTGAAAATCTGTTGCTTAGTGAAGCCACCCTCATCAAGTATCTTAGCTAGATCTTCTGGATAACTTGCTGAAGTTTCTCCATCAACACACTGCTTCACCTTGCACTTTTAGGTTATGGAGATGGCTTCTTTCCTTAGACGTCATGAGCCAAACTCTGCTACCTTCAAACTTTTCTTCTGCAGCTTTCTCACCTCTCTCAGCCTTCAGAATTGAAGAGAGTTAGGGCCTCGCTAGGGATCAGGCTTTCGCTTAAGGGACTGTGGAGGCTGGTTTGTCCTATTCAGACCATTAACTCTCCATATCAACAAAAAGACTGTTTCACTTTCTTATCTCTGGAGTAGCCTTGTTAACATCCTTCAAGAACTTTCCCATTGTATTCATAACTTGGCTAACTGGCATGACAGGCCTAGCTTTCCACCTATTTCAGCTTTCAACATGGCTTCCTCACTGAGCTTAATCATTTCTAGCTTTCGACTTAAAGTGAGAAACCTGCAACCGTTCCTTTCACTTGAATACTTAGAGGTCATCGTAGGTTATTAACTGATCTAATTTCAATATTGCTGTGTCTCAGGGAATAGGAAAGCCCAAGGAGAAGAAGCAAGAGAAGGGAATGGCTGGTCTGTGGAGCAGTCAAAACACACACATTTACTAATTCATTTCACCGTCTTGTGTGGATGCAGTTCATGGCACGCCAAAATGATTACAATAGTAACATCAAAGATCACTGATCAGGCCTGGCACAGTGGCTCACGCCTATAATATCCAGCACTTTGGGAGGCTGAGGTGAGACGATTACCTGAACCCATGGGTTCGAGACCAGCCTGGGCAACTTAGAGAGACCTCATCTCTACAATAAATCAAAAAATTAGCCGGGCATGGTGGCGTGTGCCTGTAGTTCCAGCTACTTGGAAGGCTGAGACAGAAGGATCACCTGAGCCCTGCAGGCCGAGGCTGCGGTGGTTGTGAGTGTGCAACTGTACTCCAGCCTGGGCAACAGAGTGAGACTCCAACTCAAATAAATAAATAAATAAATAAAGATCACTGATCACAGGTCACCATGACAGACATAATAATAATTAAAAGGTTGAGATATTGCAAGAATTACCAAAATGGGAAACAAAGACACAAACCTTCAATTTGTAAGAAACCAAGTATCTACAAAGTGCAATAAAGCAAAGTGAAAGAAATGTCTATACCCTTTTTTAATGAGCCCCTTAACATGTGATATAAGCACTCACTAAAAAGAGATTTAATTCTTCAAAACCGACATATGGAACTTAAACTCTAGTCCTTGGCTAAAGAAAACAGCCCAGCTTTAGGGAAGAGTCTACTTTTAATTTTATGGCCAGGAGAGTTTTCTTTGGCCACTATTTTTACTTTGAAAACTGCGGCCATGAGAAGCTCTCTCTTTTTTCAATAAGAGTAAAAAACTGTCTTATTCTAGGTTTCATTTTGCTGACAGAGGCCTAGCCAAAGAGATCGGCTTGCAAATATGATTATCCCTTACTGTCTTTGCCACTCTGTCCAAAATTTTCTCTCAAGTCTTCTTCCTTGCGTCATTAAAATGATATCTGTTACTTTATTTTTTAATATAACACTTTTGATGTGTTCCTTTTTGAAAGAAAAGAAGATAACTGCCTCAAATACTTTATCAAGATTCACCTTTTTTTAAAGCACAGTAGGTTAAATAAAATTGGCATGATTATGGAGGTCTCTGTAGGGGAATGTTCAGGGAAAGCATGAAAAATGTGCTTGTTTTTAAAGGCTCCTGGCCACAGAACCTGTAATGTTTACAAAAGTTTTGCTAAAGGAGAAGGGTGTGCCTGCAGAAGGTTCATGGCCAAGGGAGTTTGATTCCTCTTACGGTATGAAGAGAAAGCCGAGCTCAGATCCCAAGAGACTTCTGACTCACCAGGAAGAAGCTTTCAGATTTCCCCAAACTCATGGTTTTTTGATTAGCAAATCACAGAGTCGGTGAGCAGTTCCTGAGTGTGAAGCCCACATTACACTTCTAGGGAGAAGGGTCCCTTCTATATCAAATATCAGCATCTGCATCCTGATATCCACAGACAACCTCTCCCACCTCTCTTCCTAACTCCTCTTCCATTCTCCAATGACACACCATCTTCTGTTTCCCACTAGTCCTGTACAACCAGATATGTGTGTGTATGAGAATGCATACTATATATATATATTACATATATATATATAAAATCTGAAAGCTTTCAAAAGTTATTTATGTGCACACCCAAATGTGCATCCTTTAACAACGAAAGCTTGCACCAAAGCTATGTTTCTAATTCACAACTGGTCTTTCAAAGGTCTAAAAAATATATGCCACACTTGCCAGGAATTTACTTAAACACTTCATCCGGGCAGGCACCAGAGATCAAGTAAATTCTCCTCTTGAATTCTGGCTTTCCTTGCTAGCTTCAAGCCCATTTATAATATGAGAGCACCACGCTCTCAATATTGTATTATTATAGCAGGAAGGTCTTGTTACTATTTTAAGGAAGTTTAACAGTACATCACTGTATTCCGTTGGAGAGCAGGGAACGGGAAGCCTGTTTGTACCCACCACCTCGGCTCGACTGTGCTCTGGGTGGCTGGAGCTTTGACCTCGGAGGAGGGGCCCCTTGGCGGCCGAACTGTACACCTTTCATAAAGTCAGAGGAACTGGGGTTAACCACACTATAACCCTCCCACCTGAGGAAAAGGCCTGTTTGTTCCGGAAGGCAAAGCCCGGTCTTATTCGACTAAGGCGAGCAGTTAATGTAAGCACGCCCAGGGCAGCAAGAAAGCGCTAGTGTAGAACAGTAAAGCCAACGACCTTACAGGGGTCTCTCCAGAGTCTGATATCTTAAAAGATGCCGCACAGACGCCTCACCTGGCGGTTAACCCGAAAACACCTGATCCTCCCTCTGGGTTCCCGGTCTGGGGAAAGCGATCAGACTGCCGGGCCATGCCTCCGCCTTCAAAACTTTCCACGGCTCTCGGGATTCGGAGCAGGAAACACCGTTCGCTGCGCACTCATTTCGGCCTCGCCAGGCTGGTTCCCCGAAGTCGGGCCCTTCCAGGCCGGGACCCCCTTCGCTTACCCTTCCAGCCAGCCGCGGGGTGAGCGCGGATCCGGCTAGAGAGCGGACGCGGCGGGCCCGGCTCCGGCGGCCGAGAGGCGGCTCCGTGCGCCCGGCAGGACGCGGCGCGTGGCCAGGCG